GGCTTCAGTTTTACATTTCACCATCCTTTCATCTAGGAGTTAATTTATGCAGCTCTGATTCCAACATTTCTCCCACAAGAAGGAAAACATTTAAACAGTTTCAGTGAATTATCAAAGAGGAAAACTTTTGTTGAAATCTCTGAACTTATGGAGCAAAATGCAACTCACACGATCGAGGAGCAGAACTCCACTTTCATCCATGTTGAAATGAGCTTTGATTCCTTTAGGCTCGGCGTCGGCGTGTTTCTGAAAGCTGTCGCCCACTCCCGACAGCCGGACCGTGGTCAGGTTGGGAGATCCAAACACGCTGCAACAACAAGCTACGATCAGGCTTCATCACGGGTCACAATGACAGCGTCTCACGTGAAATCCACCGTAAAGCCAACCTGAGGTCACTCTGGCTCAGAAAACTGAGGTCTCCATAGTTGATGTTGAAGGTGAAGTCCGTGTTGTAGCGATTGAAAGTGATGACTTTCCTCTGAGGGTACGGCGCCATCCTCTGGAACAGGATGCGTTTGTTGTGTTTCAGGGTTCTGACGCCGTCCTCCTCCATCTCCCGGGAAAACTCCACCTGACAGGTTCAAACAGGAAGTGGGCTTTACACAAGTTTTATAAACAGCCTGAAATCATGTAATACYTTTTATTTAACTGATTAAAGTTCAGACATTAAACTTCCTGTAACTTATTTAAACTACGACTGAAGTCTGAGCTGTGGTCTGAGTTTTATCTGCTTCAGGCTTTTTATTCTTCTAAAATCAGACAAAAACGTTTAGTATAATACACACAACTAAAAAAAAACACATTTCACAAATCTGTTTTCATTATTTTAAAACAGATTTATTTGTTTTTCTCCTCATACTGAAGGTAAAACTACCTGGGGAAAAAAGACCGGACGTTTCTTAATTGAATATTCTGCATTTTTCTTTCAAATGACACCAGAAYCAGATGAATTTTTCATCAGGCTGGAGTTTAAACTACAAATTTGATTCAAGCTTTGTTTACGTTATTCTGTAGGACACTGTAAAAGCCAACATTTATTGTTGAAAATACAGTGAACTATAATACAGATACTGGTCTGACAATGTTGGTGTTTGGAAGAAAACAGGAGATAGTTTAACTGAAATAAAAGCAGTTTTAGGAGCAGCCCTACAGTAAACAGAACAAGTTGTTCACAGTGTTTGAATACGTTTAATAAAAACATTGAAGCCTCTGACCTGGATGGGGAACACAGCTGCATCTCGGACCAGGAAAGGTTTGACTTTGAAAGCCTTGCTGAGAGCAGCAGCCTGGTACACAGCTCCCATAGCTGCTGCCTCATCAGCATTGATGTTTTTCCCCAGCTCCTCTCTGTGGGGGGGAGGGGACAAAAAACAAGTTGATTTCTACAGTTATGGATGGTGTTAAGCCCTAAGGGGTTTTAGAGGTAATTTCCGCCTGAAAATTCACAGCAAAATAAATCAAGAATAGCTCCACAGTTATAAGGTCTAAATGCTAACTCTTGGTACCTCTGTAAAGGTTAGATCTTAAAGATAATTTCTTAACTGAAACCACTATCGTAACTCTTACTGTGCCTGAGTTAGTTGTGATTAAATAAAGAAAATTTGTAATTTTTTTAGCCCCGCCTAAATTTTTTTTTAAATCAACAGTGCAAAACACAATGAAAACTCTGGCAAAAAGTCTGAAATGCCCTTAGATTTTATTCAACTATAACTTGAGAAAAATTGTAGCAAAGTAGGACTGAATAAGTTGAAGTATTTTCATTTCACAAAGGTTTTAGTGAGCAGTGTGCCAGGCAGAAATGGCATATTGGCACAATTTAGCCAAATGTACCCAAAACTGTGCCAAATGGTTTTTTACTTTATAAAAGAGAATCTGGTTTAATAAAACTGTTGATTTCTATTGTAGGACTCATTCTGCATATGACATAACCTTTTCTTTTTACATTTACACTGTGCATCATCAAAATCTACTATCATACTCTTCACCCACGCGCCTACAGAAACGTAACTCCGCCTCCACGTTTTACGCATGAGGGCAGTTATTTAT